TGAGTCCTAAACCCTAAGCCCCCCCCCCCCCCCCCCCCAACTTTTTGACATGATTCCCGGGATCCGGCCATTGCTCTGTGGAGGATCCATGCAAGCAGGTCTTGTGACTAAACTGAGTGAACGCCTCCCCCGCCCCCACCCTAAGTAAACCCCAAGCCCTAGACCCAAACCCTAACCTTGAACCCAAAGAGACAGAGCTCTCGCCTCCAACCCTGTAGAGCCAGACATTCCAAAACAGCCCCCCACACACAAGTTCTTTCGTTCCTAGTCTTGATTTCAGGGTGTATTGAGGGTTGGTGTATAGGCAACATGTCTGCTCTGTAGAAGCACGAGTGCCTTTAGACCGCTTGTTTGTCAGCACAGTCGCTCTTGAGCTGTGTTTTCTTGGGTTGTGGATGCACTGGCATTTATCTGATTTGGCTCGTCTTCGGGGCCTTGGCGCTCAAACTGTTAAACAAAGTGTATCACCCGCAATCGACATCCCAGATGCCGAATCCAAAAGCAGCAACAAGAATACCCGCCCTCTTCATGCTCACCCACAAGCCTCCCCGAGATACCCTACTGATAAATACCAGAGATACCCTAGCCCTGAACCCTTAATCCCTAGAAGCATATAAACCCTAAACCCCCTGAACCCCACAGCGCCAGAGACGAGGATGACCATGGCTTGCCAGATTGAGAACCAGGTGCCTTGTCTTGGGGTTTAGGGTTCAAGGTTCAGGGTTCAGGTTTCAGGGTTCAGGGTTTTGGGTTTAGGGTTTAGGGTTTAAGTTTTTAGGGTTTAGGGTTTAGGGTTTAGGGTTTAGGGTTTAGGGTTAGGGTTTAGGGTTTAGGGTTTAGGGTTTAGGGTTTAGGGTTTAGGGTTTAGGGTTTAGGGTTTAGGGTTTAGGGTTTAGGGTTTAGGGTTTAGGGTTTAGGTTTAGGGTTTAGGGGTTAGGGTTTAGGGTTTAGGGTTTAGGTTTTAGGGTTTAGGGTTTAGGGTTTAGGGTTTAGGGTTTAGGGTTTAGGGTTTAGGGTTTAGGGTTTAGGGTCATTGCGTTGTGCTGGTTTTGTCCAGGCTTTTGGGCCTTTTGTTTAGGAGTCTATTGGGGGTTTGGGGGGAGCCTTTCAAACCCTGAACCCTAAACCCCTCAACCCTAAGCCGCCTAAACCCCCCACTAAGAACCCCCTAACACCCTCCCTTAAGCCCCTCTAAACCCTGAACCCTGAATCCTAATCCCTAATCCCTAAACCCTAAACCCTAAACCCTAAACCCTAAACCCTAAACCCTAAACCCTAAACCCTAAACCCTAAACCCTAAACCCTAAACCCCCCTAAAACCCATGCCAGCTCGCAGGAGCTGCGGGCGCAGATCGGCGAGCTTCGGAAGAACCACTCCACAACTTCCGCCAGGGGCCCACAGGGTTTAGGGTTTCGGGTTTAGGGTTTAGGGTTTAGGGTTCAGGGACGTGAGGGAGCATTAGGGGTGTTACGGGTGTTACGGGTGTTCGCGGTGTTGGGGGTGTTGGGGGTGCTTGCGAAGAACAGCTTCTCCAGACCTTATGCAGACCAGGAAGCTACCGCCGGAAACCCTATCCCTAAACCCTAAGCCCTAAGCCCTAATTAAACCCTTAACCTAAACCCTAAACCCTAAACCCTAAACCCAAAACCCTAAACACGAAGACATTGCACCAAAACTTTTAAGGCCCGCAGCCCTGCACAAACCTGCCGTTGCCACTAAGGCCAAGTCCCACAAGGACCAGGCGGTTTGGGGTCTGTGCCTTATAACAACGTCAGCCAATTTAGGGTTCCTCACCCCTACTCGCCCTAATCGCTAAACCCTAAGCCCTAAACCCTAAGCCCTAAACCCTAAACCCCAAACCCTAAACCCTAAACCCTAAATCCTAAACTCTAAACCCTAAACCCTAAACCCTAAACCCTAAACCCTAAACCCTAAACCCTAAACCCTAAACCCCGACAAACCTAAGCCCTGTAAACCCTAAAGTTTGTGTTTCGGGAATTAAGGGCTTCGGCCTACTCTCTTGGTAGCCCAGTGGTACCCTTTTGGGTTTAGGGTTTGGGGTTTTCCCACTTTTTTTGGTTCAAGGTACCCGTATCATCATATGGCCACTGGACTACCAAGCCCATACTAAAGGCTAACAAAGGCTAG